ACATTTTAGGAAGAGAGAATCATAGGTATCCAGGCTTTTAAAGAAAATTGCATGAATTTTACTTATGGACTTTACACTTACTTCCATTGTTTCATAATGCAGAGAGAAGTGCTTCCTTTCAAAGAAAACACCGTAAATCACTTCTAATTTAGTATGCATAAAAACATTGGTAAGAAGGCTAATATGAAAAGAAATTTGATTTTTTTTTAAATATGCAAGTTTTACTTCATTTTATAAGGTACAAATTTCAACTTTTTAAATACCGTTTGTTAAAACTTTTAAGAACATTGAATCATACGTAGAGGCATAAAATGAAAATTGTTGCATGAAAAAATTTCAATTTCAAGCTTTATTTTTAGACTTTTTGAATTAAATTATAAATTATAGAGTTATCCTTCCTGGCTGAGGATCGTATATCCTTAAAAGTAAATTCACTACTTAGACCTGTGTGGAAAGAAAATCCTAGATTTTGCACTTCTTTCTTATTTATTGTATGCATCTGAACAGAGAGATATAATAGAGCATGCATCTGGAGACCATGACTTTGTTGAAATCCGTTGTTTATTATTATTGGACTAGTCCATTTATGGAATATACTGTAAACCAACTTTTATTCGCGTGCGAGAAATTTTCGCGAGGTTCGCAAGAGACTCGTCATCGCGAATATTTCTCGCCGTGAACGGGTTCTTAAAGTCATTGTTTCTATTAAAAACAGTTTCGAAAAAGGCTTGATCGTGAAAATTAATCGTTGCCAACCAGTTTACTCCCGGTAAATCGCGAAATAAAGTCGTCGTGAATAAAAGTTGGTTTACAGTACCAACCGCGGGATCGAGAAACAAATTAGAAAACTAATTTCTTTAGTTTTGCATGTCCGTATACTGATATTTTATACGATATGTTGTTTAAAAGAATGAGATAAAACATTAATTTATAGATAGAATTTCTGAAGCATTAGAAGGAGGATAAAAATGTATACTTTATTTAATTCCATTCATACAATAGAATAATCCAATGAAAAGGCGCGAAGAAAGCAGTGACATTTGGCGCGAAAAGAGCGATTCACCCCTTTCGTTGAATATAAATGGACTTATCCAATAGTATAGAAATGGAGAAAAAAGGATACACGGACATGTTGACACGCGGTGAATCACATGGAATAAACTGTTCAATGCAAAAGAATAAAGGAAGTAAACACTGCAGTATTTTGCATCAATAATACCATTCTTTTTTCTGAAAACTGTTTCTTTTAAAATGCAGGTAAAGAATTCCAATTAAAATCAGCTTGCATAAAATCTAGCTCTCTAGGTATGATCTATTAGTTTCGGATTATGAAAATATCAATCCTTATACAGCCTGACACCGTGACGTCAGGCAACAAAGGAAGAGAGAATTAGAGGAGCACAGTAATATATGACAAAGGAAGAGAGAATAAGAGGAGCACAGTAATATATGAAAAAGGAAGAGAGAATTAGAGGAGCACAGTAATAAATGACAATGGAAGGGAAAATTAGAGGGATACAGCAATAAATGACAATGGAAGAGAGAATTAGAGGAGCGAAGTAATATATGAAAAAGGAAGAAAGAACAGAGGAGCACAGTAATATATAACAAAAGGAACAAAGAATTAGAGGACATAGTAATATATGACAAAGGAAGAGAGAATTAGAGGACATAGTAATATATGACAAAGGAGGAGAGAATTAGAGGAGCAAAGTAATATATGCCAAAGGAGGAGAGAATTAGAGGGACACAGTAATATATGACAAAAGAGTGGAGAATAAGAGGACATAGTAATATATGACATAGGATGAGAGAAGCAGAGGAGCACAGTAATATATGACAAAGGAGGAGAGAATTAGAGGACATAGTAATGTATGACAAAGGAAGAGACAACTGGAGGAGCACAGTAATGGAAGAGAGAATTGGAGGGAGAAAGTAAAATATGACAAAGGAAGAGAGAATTAGAGGAGCACAAAAATATAAGTCAAAGGAATAGAGAATTAGAGGAGCACAGTAATATATGACAAAGGAAGAGAGAATAAGAGGAGCACAGTAATACAGGGTGTTTCATAATATATGTTACATTTTGAATCTCCAATTTGACAGAAAAGAAAAAGATACAGATAAGTCTTTTTATCAAATTGATGCACATATTCATAAGATTCATAATATTCATAATGTACAATTACCAACTAAAATATTAAACACTGAACATAATCTTAAACATTAATGAAAATTAGCGAAATTTCCAAGTTGCGCCATTTTTTGCTACGTTGAATTTCACAACGTCAAAAGTTCACATTACATGTTATAAATGATCTCCATTTATTCAACAACAATTGACGTTGTTTCTTGAAATTTGTATAAAACCTTGTCACATTTTTGCTTAGACACTCCTCATTTGAAGGTTCATGTTCTTTCTAAGCTCATTCAATATCTGTGGTCTAGGATTGAAGACCCTTTCCTTAAGAACCCGTCAGAAAAGAGCCCAAAAATTGAGACTGTCAAATGAAGAGGTCAAACTCTTTCCTTGCATTAATTATTGATAATTTGTATACTGATTACTTCAAATCATATTTTAAAGTTCATTATATGCTGAAAATGCTGATATTGTCAGAATAAATTTCTGAAAATATCTATCAGACACTTTTCTCAGAAGTTTGCTACACTGAGAGTCTCGACTTCACCAATAACATCTCCGCTTCTTAATGACTTCTGGCTCTCTGAAATACTGTGTCATTTATCGCATACTGTCCGTCCCTGTCCTTTAACCTTGTTACTGCCCTTCTGATAAGCATCCTAGAAAGCTTCTATTTTATTTTGGAAAATTTATTTCATGAACTAGTAAATGAATAGAATGAATATTAGCGACATAATCTGAAAATAAAAACAGCTTTACAATTCTTACAATTCAGCACTGAGTGCATTAGACAAGTCCATCTCGAGAAATATCCAAATTATGACATCAACGTTTATAGCACATTTAATCATTTCAAGACCATGATTTCCTTGACTTTTTCACATGTAACAAAAATGCAGGATTCAATGTTTAAAATGATATAAAGTTTGTAATAGAAGTATGATAGGTAAGAAAAATAATTAGATCTCAAAATGTAACATATATTATGAAACACCCTGTATATGACAAAGGAATACAGAATTGGGGAGCACAGTAATATATGTCCAAGGAACAGAAAATTAGAGGAACACAGTAATATATGACAATGAAAGAGAGAATTAGAGGAGCATAGTAATATATGACAAAGGAAGAGAAAATTATAGAAACATTAGTTATATATGACAAAGGAAGAGAGAATTAAAGGACCACAGTAATACATGTATATGACAAAGGAATACAGAATTAGAGAAGCACAGTAATATATGACAAAGGAAGAGAGAATTAGAGGAGCACAGTAATATATGACAAAAGAAGAGAGAATTAGACGAGCACAGTAATATATGACCAAGGAATACAGAATTAAAGGAGCACAGTAATATATGTCCAAGGAAGAGAAAATTAGAGGAGCACAGTAATAAATGACAATGGAAGAGAAAAATGGAGGGATACAGCAATAAATGACAATGGAAGAGAGAATTAGAGGAGCATAGTAATATATGACGACGGAAGGGAAAATTACACGAGCACAGTAATATACTAGTATGCAAAGGAAGAGCAAATTATAGGAGCACAGTAATATATGACATAGGAAGAGCGAATTATAGAAACATTAGTAATATATGACAAAGGAAGAGAGAATTATAGAAACATTAGTAATATATGACAAAGGAAGAGAGAATTAGAGGAGCACAGTAATATATGACAAAGGAAGGGAGAATTAGAGGAGCACAGTAATTTATGACAAAGGAAGAGAGAATTAGAGGAGCTCAGTAATTTATGACAAAGGAAGAGAGAATTAGAGGAGCACAGTAATACTGAGTATATGACAAAAGAAGGAAGCATTAAAGGAGCACAATAATATATGACAAAGAAAGAGAGATAAAGAGGCGAGCAAAACAAAGAGAAAATTTGTGGAAAACAGTATAATGTGACAAAGAAAGAGAGACTTGGAGTAAAGGCTTTAAAATTAGGTCTATACTTGGCACTCTGGACATTGAGCAGTGAGAGTTCATTATCGTATCCACGCCTACCGCGACATGGAACCAGTTTCGATAAGGTTTTCACCGAATTACTCATGACTTTCATTCCGAATACCGGGACCATGCCGAAAGAAGTAGCCACTACATTGGTTTACGGCTCAAGTTTGGCGCGGTACGGCGAACAGGAATTGAAACCAGACCTGTTGATCACGAAACGAATGCCTTTTCGTTAAGCAACATGTACCAGCATAAAATAAATTGTAACAAAACACTAATCATGTATTGTAGCTAAACCCAAATGATTGACTTGTATCATCCAGTAAGGGGACATACCGGTATCCATGGCGAACACATACTCTAATTCATCGTTTTTAGTCAATAGTTATTAAATATTTGTCTTCATTGACGGAACAACCATTATCTCAGAGCATCTAAGATAACCTTCATTGCACTGTTGGACATTCGAATCCCATTAAAGTGTCGTTTACTACAATAAAAATACAGTACAATTTATTATTAAGTAAACGACGTAGAAACGGAATTCAAATACTCCTTAGTTTGCTGAGGACATTACAAAACAAATTCACATTAATGCAATGAATATTTGTAATGTAATGCCACATATGACTAACTGTCGTTGCAAAGGGGGTTTGTATATCAGACGAAGGTAGAACAATACATTTTTTTCTCTGTTCAATACGAGTTTTTGGAAATATTGCGTCCAACGATAAATATGCTCTGTTCACTTCTATGATACCTTGACTTTATTAGTATCTTCTTTATGCATAAACCATGTAAATGAAGAACGCAAATCAGCAAAGAAAAGTACAGGTACTGAAGTACTATCTTGTCATAAAACTAAGAAACTAAGAGAAAGATACATGTAGCTCTGAAGTCCTTACCTCTACTTGACGTTACGATGTTGTACGTCATACACGTAAAATGGGGATCCCTTTCCTCCTCTGGAAACAGAGTTCGAGAGCAGTTGGAGAACAAACCTTCACTGAAGGCCAGCGTCATGTTTCCTCCCTCTGCAAAGCAATAATACTTAGTTACCCAGTAAACAAAAAAAACTTTACCTGAGATACTTATCTTCTTATCTAAGATAAATATTTTCTAATCTCTAAAAACTATCTTGTAAACTAGGATAAATATTTTCCCATCACTAATAATTATCTTCCAATTTAGGGCAGATATGTTCTTCCCATTTAGGATAAATTTGCCATCTTCATCCCATTAATTTAAAGGAAATTCATTAATTATCGATGAAAATTAAAGAAATAAATTTTTAGGAGGAATTGATAAATACAAGTACTTTAAAAAAAATAACTATTTAAAGTTCAATAAACTATGGAACTGTCATTTTAGGCAATTTAATTAAATGAAGTTAGAAATGAAGAATTTTGGAAGTATTATACATATTATCTGTTAAAAATTAGTCACTGTTTCACATATTGTACTATTACTTACTTACAGAGTTTTCATTGACTTTCCCTTACTTTTCACTCTTACTACTAGAAGTTTTGTTTCTTAATTGATAATATCTCTGATGTAAAAGATGAATAAAAATAGAAAATGAATTGGATTTGTTTTCTGTCTGTATTTGCCTTTCTTTACATCAAGTTGATGTTTCTACAAAAGAATAATTTATTTGTCGAGAAATTACTACAGGTATTGGCGCCATAACGTAAATCGAGTAATATAAATAATTAACAATGTCGATGATTGGTTTTTCATATAAAATAAACTGAATAATAAAGTTCATACAATACGTTGATTATCAATCTTATGCATTTGTTCCATTTGTTACAGCCCAGTAATGGTTCGTAATTTGTCTCTATTTTGCAAATGGGTATTTCATTATTACTTGTACAAATATGTTAATAGCTCATTCTTTCAGTGGGAAAGGTCAAACATAAAATCCTGCATTTTGGACAAAAGAAGAATCAAGGGTTTTGTTACAAATGCAAGTCTGTGTTTTAGTTACTGGGGTATTGGTTATTAAAACATCGGATAGACCTGTCATTCAACCAATGGAGAAAATGTTCTAAAATGTTCATTTAAAATAAGTTTTTTTTCAAAATTAAAGAAAAAGTAGCGCATGAAATATGTTTTGCTGAGTTGCATGTTCCCATAAACATGCAGCAACTTCATCAAAAGACTTTGGAGAGCTTAGGCGTTTTATAATGATACATTTTCTGAAGAAAATCTTACAAAGGCTACAAGGCATAAAATATGAAATATTAGAAAAATAACTTTCACTATTTCATGAAAGAATTGATTTAGGGATGATTCATGTTTGTTATTTACTCCATGTTAACCAGAGATAGACTAATTAAAGATTGGTTTCTTCCTTTTTGTTCTGGTACATGTGGTGCAAGATTCTATCTATTCATTGCATATAAAATGGAATAGTGAATAAACAATATCAAGTATGTTTGTTTTGTTTTTAAAACTTCCCTTTCTAGATATTTTCACTCATACTGAGACGCCACAACTTGCTATTATAAGGCATCAAATTAAAACCTGTATTCGGCACTCCTGTACATGTAGTGAGGGACAACAAATCAGTACTTTATTGAAACATTATGGAAAGCTTTGAATATGAATACTACTTGTTGTTTCCTATAAATTATTGCAAAGATGTTTACAAAGTAAACTTTATTTACCGAAGAAATTGTAGATTCCAAAGCCGTTCGAAAAAAAATGGTTTCCAGGACGAGATACAAAATAGAAATTCTCAAACAAATTTTAGACACACTTGCGACCAGTACTTCTTATACAAGTAAAATAAAATTAGGGAATTCATATCAGGTAATATGTTTTTCAAGCATATTACATTGCTACATATCTTAGAATTCCTTAAAGGTATCATGCAACTTTATTGGTCGTTGATATGAATGATGCTATCATATTAATATCGGAATGTTCTTAATCTAGTTTTAATCTGCGTAGGGGTTGACAATGGTTTGTCCATAAATCATGTCTAGAAATATTAAACGTGATGGAAAATTAATGTAGTTTTAAATATCAGTCAAAAATTTATAGTGAAATTAAGCATGTCATTTATTATACATTGTTAATTGAAATGATAACCGGTTTAATTTGAGAGAGAGAGAGAGAGAGAGAGAGAGAGAGAGAGAAAGAGAGATAGAGCAATAGTGTAACGTAATTATAGATCAAACAAAAGAAAATTAACAATACATATTTTTTCATAAATATATTTGATAGCTTCACGCATTTAACAGTATTTTTAGTAAGAAGTCATTGAAGAAAAAGACGCTGGCACGAAGTGGTACAGTTCATGCACCCTTCCTTATTGTAGACCTCTAGTCCCTGTCATCAAAATAATTAAGGCTTATGTTTTACGATCGATGATTTGCAATTGAACGAAGTAGCTAGTAAACTGTTTGTTTTCCTATCAACATGCTGGGCTTTAAGCAATTAAAATTTCTGGGTTTGTAATAATCTATAGCTTATCTTCAGTGCCCCTCGAAATTATAACTTCGCAAACATGTTAATGTTTGTGAAGTTTTTAATAATAGTATTTTAAAGCATTGATTGATATCAGGTTTAAAGAATACAAAAAATCATTATTGCTTGATATTCTTCATTTAGTTCGTAAGAGAAGATATAAAAGTAAGCGAGAACCTGTAAAATTAATACAGTATTTGATTTTTGAAATCTAATTTGGTGTCTTGACTGATTTCAACGTAAGTAAATTATGTTCACCATTTTACAGTGAAAGATGGGGTAATAAAATGAATAATTGACTAAAGTTGATTACTTGGAATAATTACTCGACAGGGGCAATCCATTAATTCAATTGTTACGCAATCACACTCCGTTAGCTGCTACCTACCCGCCAGGAAAGAGTATTGAATCCAATTGCTACATATGCTAGCAATCATTAATATTGTCGTCGTAAATCCGAGAAACATGGCCACATATCGAGATCGTGAGAATGTCCGATGCTCCCAAAATTCAGACAAAATCGTCCATTGTTTTTCCGTCAGAATAATCTCTGCAGGTTCGTGGGGGTGTCTTTTACCCTTTTTTGATTTTTCAATTACATGATATGTTGCATATCGTTGTTGGCGGTGTCTTTGAATATAATGCTTATCCTCTTCAGTTATGTGGTATTTTTCTAGGTCTGGGTGCACAAATTGAGTGCTTTCTAATAAGGCTTTTTTAACCGGGGTCGTTGAACGTTCTATAGGAGGTTCGTCCTCTGTGGGACAGAGTTTTCTCTCCGTTGAGGCTCTCCTTTCTTTAGACCATTTTGTCCATGTAGACTCCAAATTTTTGCCAAGAAATTTTGGATCATGATCCTTATTTCGAAACGATTCCCTCCTGGAAGAATGGTGACTTTTTTCAGATCCTCTTCTGTCCCAGTTTTTGTCAATATCCTCTACATGAAGTCCACGAAATGTATTTTGGGAAGTTGGTGGATTCTCAAACAATTTGTCGAAATTATCGGTGGCAGCGCTACCAGCTGGAGCCTGCATGCTCCTGCCCATTCTTAATTCATCTGAGGTGGATTGATCCGTGTGAATTAATGGTTTTTTGTCGCTTTCACCTTTCATGGTAACTCTTGGAGAGAAAACTTTTGGAGCCCTGCCTGATCGACATTGATCTGAAGCTACAATTACATCACAGGCGGATCTCTCACCTGTGTAGCTCTGTGTACTACGTATGCTTTCCTGTGAAGAGAATCCCGATGTTAATGTCTCTCCCAGACCACTTGTCTCGGTGGAGCTCTGCTGGGGCAGCTTTTGCAGACTTGGTGACTTTTCGAATCCGCTTCCGTAAGGCGTCAAGAACTTTTTGGCTGACCTGTAACCCTCCCGGTTCTCTGCGTGACCTGAGCCCTGGTTTGCCATGTCACATCGGTGCTATCTTACAGTTGAAGGCCCCTAACGTGCCCTTATGTAGACACTGAGTGTTCTTTTTCATCAAGTGCCAACATTTCCTTCTACAAATAAAGAGCAGATATTCACAATTCAAATAATTATCGAGAGAATAACGTTAATAGCACTTTCTCGTGATAAAAGCCTAAACCTGTCAAACGATCGATCTCAGTGCAGCACACGTAGGTATACGTTAGATCTAATATTCGTGATTTCAAAACCTTTTCGATGAGCGCATATATGCTTTTTGCTATTAATACATCGGACGTTGAAATTCTAATGATTTCTGCCATAGGATATAATAGAGCGGAAACTATAGCTTGATCTGTGATCATAGACTCATTACAACGTACATTTAACCTGAGTCATATTCGCCAATATGGAGAAAGAGAGACCTCAGGGATGAATAATGCTTAATTAAATTAAATGTTCATTATCCGATGAACATTTCGTGAAAGTCAATTTTATCTATACCAAAACAAAGTAGTCGGTTTTTTGGCCAGAATTAGCCGGCGTATTTACTTCAACTATTCAAATTTTAATACTTTTGCTTTCCGGAAGGAGGAAACATATGGATGATTTAAAAAAATCGATCAAGTGTATATATATTATCCACTCTAAAAATACAGGAAATGAAAAGATTTCCAAGTCTCAACATATGTCTTTAGATAAAGTGTCTAAATACCAGCCAAATATCTCATTGATATCTCAATTAACGAAAAAGTTATGCCCAAAAATGATGCTAAAATTGTCAGGAACACAACACCTTTTTGTGACATTTTGAATTTCAATATTTTATGGAGATCTGTGAAATAAATTATAATGGTTATGTTGAAAATAAAGAATATCTTGATAATATTCAAAATATATTTAGCTTTAAATGTGGACTAACTTTATTAATGGCGTTAATTGCTGAAATTATTACTACCATTAAATGCGTAAATTTACGGTAAAAGGAACAAAACTGCACATGCTTGCATTATCTGTACAGTTAGCTTTACATATTGATATTTATAAATCGCTTTTCTCTCAGAACAGTTTGTTTTGCAAAGGAACAGTTGACATGAAACTGCTTAATAAACTTTCTGTTGGGTATCATTCTTTCTGACTGAATATGTTTGTTTTTATCTCATGATGTAAACGTTCCTCGCCATTTCTTGCGAATCTTTTACATTGTCTTTGTATATATATACATAGAATCTCATGAACAATTAATTTGTTTCGCAGAATTAATTGAAATTGTTCTCTAATTTTATAAATCTTTCATAGACGTGCGAATGACTTTTACAAAAAGATTTCACACTCTTTTGGGTACAGAGAAAAAAGGATGTTTTTGTATATTATACATAGAATATTTTATATATTGTACATAGAATATTGATTTCATATGTGTAATATATCTTTTCTTAGTATACTTTATAAATAATTTTAAGAAACGTAGAGTTATGCAAGGTAAACTATTGTAATATTCAAACAAAGTAAGGAAGACTTCAGCCTCCAAAAAAATAATGAACTTTCCAGAAAAATCAACCTACTACAACAATTCGTATGCTTATTTTTTTTCTAATCATTTAGAAAAAATGTATCGCTATTCTGATCGTAGACTGGGCCACTGAATTAATTATCTATTCTATTCCCTATAGGAAGTAAATAAGTCTTGATCGCCTTCCCAATGTTTTCATCAAGCAACAGAATTAGTCATCTGATAATTCCAAAAACATAAAACAGAGTATTATCATTTAGTCTTTAGGCCACTCCTTAATTAACAATCCCCGTTACGATACACAGACCTATAAAACGCTATCAGTGGGAATCAATGAAAATATTCTCAGCTGTAAACATAGCAAAAGAGGATGAGTTATTATTGATCTATAGGAGGACTGTGATATGCCGTGTCATCGCACTTCAAGCCAGTGCATCTCACCTGCCACTTTATGTAACAGAGGTGCATGTCAATATTGTATGTCAAATGAAAACTTGATTAATTACTTGTCAATTTTCATGGTTAATAATTCATATTTTAGCTCAAACTTTTAAAATTATGATGCAATTTCTTATTAAATAGCCGTACACTATTTTCATGATTAAGATTGGTCCATTGTCTTTATTTGTTTAATTAACACACCTGAATATGGTTAATAATTCCAGAAATGTTGATGTTACAAGGATTTTAACAACTTTGTTCAAAGTCAGCATTTTGTAAATTCTATGGTCGTAATTATGGTTTATTTATTTGGTTTGCAAATGTAACCTATCATTGGGTTGTATTTTGGTCGACATGTTTCATACTTATTGTTAGACCTTGGATTTAATTTTTTTTTTAATTAATAATTTTAAAATTATGAGCGGTTTTGCAATTTCTGATTAATTTCTGTGTCAAAATATAAATCTGATGTTATTGCGTATATCGTTTACGCGTAAAAATGTTTCATAATCAATGTCTTGCTTTTTTGATGAATACAAAATTTTATTAATTTGCACATTTAAGAAATAATATTTTATCTGTTAAAAGTTTTCCCAATAAATAAAGAATACAGCTCACATTGGTGTTATACGCCCGGTTAAATACCATAATACGCATAACATAATATCTATAACCTTTGACTACTTCTTGATTTGCACATTTCATTTATCAACTTAGTTTTACAAAAAGAACCTGTCATATAGTAAAAAATCTTTATAAAGCATTCTATCTTTTCTTGTAACTTGTCAAGATTACGGCATATTACGGAACGCTTCCTAATTTACGAACAGTCGGAACAGTCCGTAAATAAGAAAATTATTAATGAATGTTGTACATGACATCATCACAGGAAGTTATAGAAGCTTGGTACAAATTACCAGAAAAATCCATGTAGCCAAAACGATAAAATGACCAAAAACACAAAACCCCAGTACTATGCGCAACGTCTAATCTGGAGTTTCTGGGGTTTCTTGTTTTTCTCCTCTGCACATACTTGTATTTTTGTAAATGATTTGTTTTAATTTATCAATGTTTGTTATTTTTACCTTTATATAATTAATTGATTTCCCTTAAACATGTTTTCATCTTCCAGCTTTACTATTTTCTTGTTGTTTAAAAAAAATCTAACACAAGGCGTTATCATTTAATTAGACTTTTCATTATAGAAAGAAGTTTTTTAAAAAATGCAACTTTATAAATTTTGAATATACATGCTGTCAGCCGAAATAAAATTTACAAATATAAGTATATCCTTATAAAGTGCCAAACAGGATTGTATAATAGTTCATATATGAAGATTCATATAGATATATTTAAATATCTAATAATTATGTAATTTTTGAAAATATGTATATATATAGCAGTTTATTATTTAGTTTACCTTTTCTATATCTATATATTTAAAAAAAAAAATGTTTTAAGATATAAGTGTGCAAATATGGATGAAAGTTAACATAATTCGACATACTTTGCTCTATACTATCTTTCTTCGAAATTCATATCGAAGGATTTCTTGGACTTTTTTCATACTAATTTTTAGTCCATTATCTAAACACTTAATTGACGACGGATTTTTCCGTCATTTCCTGATCATAACAACGAGCACACGGCGGGTGTGATCGTTCGTCAGGGGATGCTCCTCCTCCATGGCACCTGATCACACCTCTGCTGTTTTGGAGGTCCGTGTTTTCTCTGCTCCTGTTTTGTATTGTTTTATGGACTCCATATGTTTCTTTGGAGTAAAAAAAACTGTAACACCCCAAGTAATATACAATCTTTTGCAAACATTCCTTTGAAAATTGACTGATGGTAAGCGTATTTTCTGGAGGAAAAACAGAAGGCCAAGACTGACCTAATTATCGGTCAAATACCTCTATGAGAATTTCAGCTCATTATTGGATTATCAGAAATAGGGGGTTATTAGAACATTTTTGGATGAGAGTTTTCAATGATCCATATATAGATACCGACACAAGATATATTTTATGGGGGCTTCGTCAGGAATGCCGCTATCCCTTGTGTGTTCTTTAGGAATATCAATATACATAATTGCTGAGGATAGTTGGTTAATAATTCATTTCCAGGAAAAATAACTACGGGTTGTTATTACATCGTACCACGGAACATCTACCATACAACCGTGTTTAAAATTCGGGGGTTGCATGTTTGATTTTCTTGTGTTGGATTTATAAATGCCTTTGTTCTACATTAAACATTAGAATGTCATTTAATCCTAATTTATTAATCTTGTTAAAAATGATGAGAGTTTTATATCACAAAGAAGCACATTCATAGGGCAGTTGCATTACTTAACACAACACAACATGTTTGTGAAACACTGATGTTATCATATGACAACTTATGGCGAGGGTTTAATTTTCTAAAATGCAAATTAAAATCCAAAGGTCATGATCAAAGGGTCAAAATTGTTGGAACCTTAAAGAAGGTATCGTCACAAGGAATACATATGTGAAATATGAAAGCCCTAATTCTAACTAACTAAAGTTATGGCCAAGGTTAATATTTTTAAAATGAGTAAAACGCAAAGGTTAAGGTCAAAAGGTGAAAAATATTTATGCCAACTGGAAAGTCTAGTCAAAAAGAATATGCATGTGAAGATGAAAGTCTTAGGACCAATTGTTCAACAGTTATGAACAAGGTGAAAGAGTGAAATTTTGTCTTGTAAAGTAGGTCAAACGCCAAGGTCAATATCAAGAGGTCTTTGGTGGTATTCAAAGAAAGTTCTTGTCACAAGGTATACACCTTTGAAATATAAAAGTCATAGCCCCACCGACTCAAAAATTATGAGCAAAGGTTAAAGTTTTTACGGACAAAAAAGACAAACAGACTAGCTGGAGGGACGGACGGACAGGACAAAAACTATATACCTCCGAATCTCCTATTACGTGAGTATATAAAAATCTAATTCTATTTCCATTCTCCCTCATTCACAAGACACACTAATAAAATCGAAAGTTTTATATTTTTGGTCACCAGCAACTTTTTCCAATTAAAAAAGTAGCCCTTTAAATTTTTAGCCGGGCTTATTGCTCAAAGAGCAATTGCCGGCTTATGTCATCCTGTTCAAGGCAGGAAGTCAAC